GTGTGCGTGGGGCTGGGGCGGCACTGGAACTCCCCACGCCCTCCGTCCCTGGGGAGCTGGGGAGGGGGGGAGAGGGAGGGTTTGCGCAGGGGTAGGGGGGTGAAGGGACCCAGGGCACTGGGTGAGAGCAGGCTCTGGCTGAGCTGTGACTGTAGGGGAGCTCCTGGGTGTGCAATGCTTACGGGTGTGCAGACATCCGCGGGTATTGCAACGCTCATGGGCGTGCAAATGTCCACGGGGAGTGCAATGCTCACGGGTGTGCAAACATCTACGGGTATTGCAATGCTCATGGGCGTGCAAATGTCCATGGGGAGTGCAATGCTCACGGGTGTGCAGACATCTGCGGGTATTGCAATGCTCATGGGCGTGCAAATGTCCACGGGGAGTGCAATGCTCACGGGTGTGCAGACATCTACGGGGGCATCCCTCATCTCCCCAGCACACAGGCTCTGCCTTGCTTTTCCCACCTGCAGACACAGATAACGTATCCGGCTGCGGGCAGGCACGGTCCATGTGCTCGCGTCTCCCACCCCAGCACCCGATCACCGCAGACCCCCGGTGCGATGCACTGCTGTCGTGCTGGTGGGGACCTTAGTTACCCGTATGTTAAAAAAAAAATAAAATAAAATCACCTTGGGTGGTAGAGGATGAGACAAAACCCCTGCCTTTAGGGAAACACGACAGCAAAGCTCGGTGACACCATTACACGTGCACGGTGTTACCCGGTGCCCGCTCACCCAGCCTCCACCGGAGGCATTGTCCAGAGCAGAGCATGGCAGGAGGAAGGAAAAAGCACTCGAGATACTGTCAGGGCTACAGTTTTCTGTGGTTAGGAAGAAACACAGAAATCCATTAAAAGGAAATTTGCTGAGCAGGAATCCTGCAGTGGCCAGTTATGGGAAGGGTGGAAAAAGAAACCTCTGCTTGGGGCAAGCCGGGGCCATCACCTCTGCCCTGACAGGCGAGGAAAGCCGCTGGTGTCTTGGGGGTGCAGCAAGGAGAGGCACTGTGCTGGGGCACGGCCGGAGCACCGGGGCGGCTTCCCCGTGCCCCGGGATGCGCCAGCCCCGGTGCGCGGCGGCAGCCCGAGACCACAGCCCCCAAAGCAGCAATTGTGAAACTCTGACTAATCCGTGCTTGTGGCAAATGGGGGAAAGGCACGGACGCAGTGACCTTCCAGAGAAGAAATGACATCCGCCCGCCGCACCAGGGCAGTCAGCATCGCCCGCTTTCAGAAGCCAAAGGTGACTGGCACCAGCTCTGTCACCGCAGGGTTTCCTCCTGCTCCTCCTCCAGCATCTGCTGGGGCAGGTCCAGGGCCAGAAGAAGTCAGTTTGTCCATCCGAGCTGCCACGTTTCGGGGACGGGGTGGGTCCCCCATGGGATCATGGCTTATTTCTTCCCCTACGGGGCGGACAATGTTCTCGGGGGGGATTTCAGACTCCCCCCGACAAGGCTGCCCTGTGCTGGGCCACAACCCTTCTGCCTTCCCTGGGGGCAGAGCAGCTCCGCAGGGACCCTCCGAGCCCCCACGCTCCCCGCTGTAGGCAGAACCCTGCCCGTTCATTAGGCTAACGAGGCCATGAGGGGCTAGCAGGGACCCTCAGGCTCCCTGTGCCCGCATGGACCACCCGCTCCCTTTAGCAAAGCAGAGAAGAAGGTGCAGAGACAGGAGGAAATTTGCCACGATCAACCGGAGGTGAGCCCAGGAGAAGCAGCGAAGCAGGGACTAAACCCCAGAGATCAGTCCCAGTTCCTTCAGAGCAGCACTGAGCACTGCACTACGGCCAAACAGGGCTGAGACCGTGCCTACATTCGTGCATTTGCAAAAGAAACAGTAAAATTCCCTCCTTGAATGCCAGGACCAAGGCTCGGTGCCCTTTGCCTCCCACGCAAGGGCATGAGGCCACCTGGGGAAGGCAGTGGGGCGAGGGCAGCTGCCCACGAGGACACCAACATGATGGAGAAAGAGGCAAAAAAAAAGTGATATAACACCGTTTCATTTTCACTGGGGAGTGTGGACGGACGGTGACAGTTCCCACACGCTTTTAGATTTACAAAAATCAAGGAAAAAAGGTCAAACGTTGGCGACCTGAGCTAGGAAGAGGTGAACGAGCCCAGCATGGACACCCCGAGCAGAGGAGCCAGCCCGTGCCACCAGCAAGCCTTCGCAGGGCTCACCCCAAGGCAAGATAACTCCCAACCCTCAGTGGAAAGGTCTGAGAGCACCCGAGCTGCCAGCACCTCTCTCCTCCCTCAGCGGCCCCACGGACCATCGCACCCCGTGGCCGTCCCTGCAGGTTTCCACTGAAAACGCAGCGGTGGCTGTTGAGAAACCAGCCCCTGTGCCTGAGGCCTCCCCGTCCCGATAGCCATCAGTAACGAAGAACTAACTCGCGGATGTGACATTTGTGGTTTGATGACTTAGAGGCAACCGGCTGCCACCGCGACGGCAGCTTCGGAGGTCCTGGGAGGGCACGGCCGGACCCAGGAGCCGAGCCGCAGGGTGCTCGGATGGAGCAGAAAAAGACGTAGTTATTTTTTCCTTGCAAAAAAAAGGATAGAAAAGTGTTTCGCAGCCCTGCGAAGGAGCGCGGCCGCGGCTCGGTCCGGTCCCACGTGCTGTGCCGGCAACTCGGGCCAGCGCCGACCGCAGGGCCCGGCCGCGGGGGACGGCAGGGGGCGCGCCGC